CAGTCAAGCACACCCTAACCATAGCTATGAGCTGAATTCATAAACGCACAGCAGCTGCCGTTTGTGCGATGTTCACTTGCTTTTCGTTGAGTACCATGTTTTGATTGGGCGCCGGACTACTTGCTAGACTGTACTGCTCAGTGGGAAATCGGACTGTGTATTTCCGTTGCTTCGACAATGGTTATCTGTTGAGCTGCATGGAACCCAGAAAATTGTTCGTTCGATTTCCAAGTTCGTGTGCGATGCTGTAGGCTGTGTTCAGACCGATACGCCTGAAGAGCAAAGCAAATGATCTCAACGTGCTTTCCATGGCCTGACGGTCAATATGGCTTGATCATCTGGGGGTATATGTCACAACCAACCGAGGAGTTTTGTGAATAATAGTGACACACGAAGAGCAGAAAAACATGTAAGCACTGGTGAAACCCGGACACAATGCGGTCTGGGCTGTTGTTACAAAATTGCCCGTAGTCCAAGATACGGAACAGTAAGAATTTTTCAATTCCTTTCAAAGGGTCGAAAGTATCAAAGCCGAATACTGGTAGCACCGATCAGTCTGGGGTTGCAGTCACCCAACAAATTACGCATATGTTTGCGTCTTCCATCTAGACTCCCCCCTCTCTCTCTCTAGACTGACTGGATAACTACTTTATCGTCTGAAGGAACATATAGATGAATTGTTGGTCTACTTACGAGCGACTGGAAAAAGTGACACGTACATTATGGACCTTTAGTAAAGCGTGCTTATGTGGGAGTTCGTCATTTCTGTCAGCTTATCAAGATTTCCCCACCCAGCCCTTGTCGAACAAGAAGCACGCGCTAGGATACTTAGCTCGTTCGTTGTATGCAGGTAATCTGTGCACGAGAAACCGCTGGAGTAGCATAGACACAACACATCGGCGTAATCATGCACACGTACACATCCACGTACCCCATGATATAGAGTAGGGACGGTTAATCTATGCAACCCCTTGCTTATCATGGTCTAAGTGGTTACCTCATTGAGCCATAAAGGTCCATTAGACACGGTAGTTAGACCTCTAATGAGGGGACAATTAAGAGCTATGGTTAATGAACACACCCATATCTACACCACACTGTACTGTGTATGTAGATTGTAAGATTAATTTGATCACATCTCTTGAACGAAGGAACTCAATGAGCTCATTAGCGCCCGTCTATCTATCTATCCATCCATCCGTCCACCCGTCCGTCCGTCCGTCCGTCCGTTCGTCTGTCGTCACTTGCCCACTCTATAAGTAAATGCAAAGTGGAACAGCGTTACTGAACTTTTACTCAGTGCTAATTGCTCCGCTAGACGTTTATGTTTGGCTGCGTTTTTGGCCGATCGGTAAGTGAACATCATCGATACGTTTATGTTTGGCTGCGTTTTTGGCCGGTAGGTAAGTGAACATCAACGACAACAACAACAGCAGCACGGGCGAACTACTACTAATGCACTTTACTTTTCGACGGAATCTAACCAGGAGGGGGACGCGTTCAAGTTACACTCGTAGAAAGCGAGGTGAAAATACACAGTCTGGTGTGCTAGTCGCGAAATCTTTTTTTCCGGTGTATGACTGGAAATGCTGAACTATTCAACTCCTAGTTGTGACAGGCTGCGTGAACTCTCGTCTCCCAATCTAGTAAACACCCACTCTGTTGTGAGTTCAATCTATTATTTGTCAGTACAACTACTGTTTGACCCCGATGGTCAGTCACTCTCACTACTGTGATAATTATTACTACGAGGTGAGATGAGATCTCATCAAAAGGTGTGTCACTTATTTAAAAAGATATATACAAAGATTTATGAGATGAGTCTCATTTAGTTATGGGAGTGAATATAATGCGAATGGGATTCGATCTTGAGTGCATAAAATAGTGGCTCCCAAATGACCTTAACCCTAAAAATTTCCGACCAATTCACAACGTCCCATGTAGGACGCCCCCCATTTTTACGTGCGAAATGACCAATCAGGACTCTTCTACCCTAAGGGTGAATATCGAAATGGAAAATCATTATTCCAACCAACTCTTTTTTCAGTTCGGAATACAATATAATGAAATAATACTCGTGCTAACATGTGCTATTTCGTGTTGTACACCTAAGTAAGCAGATTATTCCACGATTGTTGGTCCGTCCTGATGTGTCACATGATCTGAGTAGTTTCGTTCCTCAAGGGCCAATGGTCTAGTGAACACATCTGGTTCACGACCAACAGTTGAGTAATGCATTTCAAACAGCACGTTTACACGTTCATATCTTATTTTTTCTGCTGCCAATCAGTGGGCATTACGTAAGAGTGGTTGGACAAGCTTACATGCTTGTAGAAATTCTATCTATCTATCTATCTATCTATCTAACTACCTATCTATCTATCTATCTATCTATCTA